GTAATCCCAGAGGCAAGAGGATCTCAAGTCCAAAGCCAGCTTGAGTCCTTGTCTTAAGCCTCCCAAAAACAAAAACCATTTTTAACTATTTTTATTTACCTATACTGCTCACATTGCTGCAAAGTTCATTGTTATTTTGTTGTACATAGATTTGCTTGTCACATAAGTTCAATTTGAATGGATTTTTAATGGTAAGAGACATTGGGAACTTTGTTCTTCAGTCACAGAAACCAAGGTCTGGCAAAATTGTCCTAAGTCATACAAGTGACAAAGACAGGATCCCTTAGTTGCCAGTTAGTTAAGTCTGACTTGATCCCAACTAGTATTTTAGCTGTAGAATAGATCCAATGGGTTCCTTTAATCCCTTTATAAGTTCCTATGATATTTCTCAGAATAATTTTTGTTGGACCTTACCTTTTTTTTTTTTTAAATCTAGGTATATTCAGCATGCAGCTTTACTTTTTCGAAGATCCCTTCACCATACACCTTATCAAAACGGGTAAGAACATCTGTGGGTTGTAATCTTTCTGTTCTTTTTAGCCTTTTAGAAATCCATTTCCTTTCACGCTCTCATTAACACACTTTCTGGGATTTTACTGAAATCAAAGGAAACAAATGTTTGCCTAGTTTGGTTAGAATAAAAGATCATTAGTGGCCAACACTGTTTCTGTGCAAATAGAAAACAGTAAGCCTAGAGAAGGGATTGGTGTAACTTTGCTTGTTAGAAGTCCTCTTACATGAACTCAGAGAATTTGAGAATGGCTTGCAGTGTGGGTAAACTAAAAGTGCAGATGTTTCTAGGGAGGACCCCTGGTGGGAGGTGATGGTAAAACAGCCTGGCTGGCTGAAGACTTGGACTGTCAGTGACAAAGACTGAGAACAAACGCAAACCATGGTGGAATCGGAATGTGAAATTTTACTAAGACAAACTTTATTTTGTAGATTAATGGAAAGTGGAGTGGTCAGAGTGCCGGAGGATGTGGAAATTTTCAGGAGACTCACAAAAATAACCCCATCTACCAATTCCATGTAGATAAGACTGGACCGTTACTGATTGAGCTGAGAGGACCAAGGTTTGTGATGAGCGGCTGCCACGATTTCTTTCTGTGCTGATGACTGAATGAACCTAGGGCCTTGTTCATGCATGCTAAGCAACCACTCTACCACTGAGCCGTATCCTCATTAACTTAAAATCCTGAGTTTTAGTTAATGGAGATATATTAAAACTGGCTTTAAGGGGACAAAGTTTGGAAGCAAACATAGGCAAAGGATTTATGTTAACGATGACATTATAGAGGAGAGGTCAGCCTTCAGTAAATGGTATGGAATTCAGTATCCATGTATAATAGTAATTTAACCTATCTCACACCACACCTAAAAATCAGTTCTAGATTTAAAAGTAAACAATAACTTGTAGAATATAATACTGATGAATATCTGGTATGAAACACTGTTCAGTGCTATATGAGCCGTGTGCTAACTGTTAATTTAGGTTTTACTGCCAAGCTTTCTCCTGCTCTGTAGGGTTTTCTGTCAATTACAATGACTATATTTAATTTAGAAATATATGTTAAATGATGTTTATCTTTTATATTATTCCCCGGGGGGCCTGTAGTTAAAAAGAAAGTCTAGCCTGGAGTGATGGCCCAGCACCTTTAATCCCAGCATTCAGGTGGCAGAGGCAAAGATTTCTCTGAGTTTGAGGCCAGTTTGGTCTACATAGTGAGTTCTGGGACAGTCAGGGCTACTTACTGAGACCCTGTCCCAAAAACAGAAAGTCTGTTTTAAGGTAAGCTTGATGCATTATTAGTCTTTATGGATTTGATTTCAAAGCTAAATAGAAATTATGAATAAAAATGTGTGTGTGTGTGTGGTTTCAGAGTACTGTTTCCTCTTGGTAAAAACTGAAGCATATATGCATATACATGCTTTAATAGTTCACCTACACTTACAATAGTTCACCTACACTTACAATGTGTATTTGAAAATTTACTAATATAGGAATGCTGTTTGATTTTAATACTAGGCAATACAGTGTTGGATTTGAGGTTGTAGCAGTTTCCATAACAGGAGATTCTGGTCCTCATGGCTTTCAGAGGAAATCTAGTGGCGACTATAGGTAAGCTGGCATTTTGTTTGTGTTTAGTGTATACTTTATGTGGCATGATGGTCTGTAAACCTTACTCTCATTTCCCCTAATATAGGTGTGGATTTTGCTACTTAGAATTGGAAAATATACCTGCTGGGGTCTTCAATATCGTCCCCAGTACTTTTCTGCCTAAACAAGAAGGACCTTTTTTCCTGGACTTTAACAGCACTGTCCCCATTAAGACAACACAACTCCAATGATAGAGAGCCCTCGGCTATTACTGGATCCCACACTTAGCAGTCATCAATTCTTCATGACAGTAAACCATCAGACTGGAGTTCAATCAGACAGGCTACAGTGGAGTCTGGTACTTGTGGTGTTTGGTAAGAATTGTACATAGTCGAATTACCTTAATCATCTAACGCACTGTTTACATGGTTTTGTGCATACAGAGTTGGCATGTATTTAGGGCTACTTTGTACAAAAATTATATATGATTACAGATTAGATTCAGCTATCACTGTGAGATGCTTTTGCTAACAGGACAAGGAAACTGAAACAAGATTAGAACGAGGTTCACAGACCCACTGAATGCAAGAGCAGGCTATTTTAGTATCTTGAAATATTTACATTATGTTTCCCGTTTTTATAGAGCACGTGAGTTTAACTTGTTCATGTTGAACCCCACCATACATCTTAGGCAAGTAATTACCAAATGAATGTCATTATAATTAATTTGAATTTTTACTGTGTCTTTAAATGTTTATTGTTGCCTAGATGTTATGAGAGAATAAAGCTTTAAAAAGTACCATTTAGCTTAGCGTGAGGATGCTCAGGCTTAAGGATGAAGGCTGTCAGTGTTAGATACATCATCCATTGTAGACAGAACTGAGGTATAGTTACTGTTGCCATTTTTTTAATTCTTAGGTTGGTGAATGTAGTAATCTGAGACTGGAAATTAGGTTAAAGTAGAGTTTTTAAATTACTCTGTAGTGCTTTCATAATGGATTTGGAGAGTCCTTAAGAATTTAGTATGTGGTGATTGAGTTATACCGCATTCATAAAAAGTAAGTTGCCAGGAATTAATGTGGTGTAAATTCCCATTTGTTTACATAAAAGTCATCAGTACAGAATGATGCTCAAGATTTAAAAGTTCTGAAAAATAGGATGGGATCTGTCATTGTCTCTACTTTATAATTATCAAAACTATTTCTACTGCCTTTAATTGAAATAAAATATTTATAGTTATGGAAAGTGTCTTTATTGAGCTATCTACAGTGTTCCTTGTAAAAGACAGATGTGCATATGAAAACACATGTTTCAAGGATAGCTTTTAATTCAGTAGTTGGAAGGTTTGTATCAATGAGATTCCACTTAGCCACATAAGGAATATAAGGAGAAGGGTTAATTTCTGCACTCAAAAACCTAGTAGAAGGGTGAGAGGCAGCATTTGGCTTAGCATGTCCAAGGCCCTGCGTTCAATCCCCAGGAGCACAAAAACAAAACCGAGTCAAGAAAACCTGTATGTAAACAGAATCGGATCCTGTAATCAAGCTCTGTGGAGAGTACAAGTGTACAGGTAAGGCTGGACCAGACACAGTCACAGTCTCTCTCTCTCTCACTTCCCTCCCCTCCCATTTGAACTTGAAGCTTCAAATACAGAATAGAAAAGTAGCCAGGAGTTATATTTTGCTATGAACTTACTCATCATGCATACTCTTTTTAATCTTCCCAGTGGCTAAGCCAAGTACAGGCACTATTACTTCTTTTTACAGCTGGGGACACGAGCCTGAAGGATCACAACCTGCAGCCCAGCTGCTTTGCATGTGGGACAGCAGGCTGGAAGTGGCAGTTGGAATTGACAATTGGATTTGTGTTGTAGGAAGGTGACTTCATTGAATCAGAAGCACAATAGAGGAACAGGTTTTTTTTTCCCCCCCAAGACAGGGTTTCTCTGTATCGCTTTGGAGGCTGTCTTGGAACTCACAGAGATCCGCCTGCCTCTGCCTCCCGAGTGCTGGGATTAAAGGCATGTGCCACCAACGCCTGGCTGAGGAACAGGTTTTTTAAAAAGGGAAAAATTAGAGATTGCTAGAAGATAGGAGTCAAAGAGCAGTGAATCCCAACACTGCAGAGATGACGAGAGGCCTGCTTCAACTTAGAAATGTGAGGAAGCGATAGGAAACAGGGAGGTTGTGCTCTCCCAGGCCGATGGGGATGGGGAACTGAAGCAAGAGGCCCAATTAAGGGATATAGTGCTATGCTTCCCAGCACAAGAAAATTCCATCTTCTACATGCTCATGGGATTTTATTGTGTGACTCCCACGTAAAAGGCAAATGGAAGAAACAACATTCAGGGTGACAGATATGTGAGCCAGAAATCCCCCGTGGTGTATCCTGAACATCAGACCACACAACTTTACCTCATAAACGTTGGCAGGAAGGGGAAATGCGTGAAGTCTCAGCTGCAGAGAACAGAGCAGTTGGAAGGGACTTCCAGCAACTGAGAGTATTAACTAATAGGCAACACTAAATAGGCATTTATCCCACAACACATTTCAGTGTGCAGCATAGACATTAAAATCTGGTACTCCCTTGAAAAAGTGCCCAAGTGTAAAACCAGACTGACAGATGAAACCATATTGCAGGATGTTAGCCCCTATCCCACCCCTCCCCCAGGAGAATATTCTAACCAGTGAAGCTGAATGTCACCTGTGGCTGCCTGCCTGTCTCTCCTCGGTGCTCACCTGTGTAACATCATGAGTGGAATTCGAATCCAGGCCTTGGGATTGATCTTAAATGACCAGGATTACCACCTTATCTGAAAATGAGAGCAGATGCCCACAGAACTCATGGTCTTTCTTAAAGCAACAGCATTTCCCAGAGTAAGACAACAGTGGGCTTTCTCATCTGAAGTCACAAAGTTTTCTTAGTTTTTATTACCCTCAAGGTATTAAAACAAGTACAAAATAACCTTGTAATTAGGATACTATATTCATCAATAAAAAAGGAGACACCACTGTTGTATGAAGCTATACACACATAGCTAAAATATACAAGCTATGACAGAATTAAGAGACAATTTGAAATGGGGGGGTGCTTTTTTCTTCAGAAAAGCCAAATCAATAAAACAGGACAAATAAAATACAGTGCCCCAAATATGCATAACCATAAACAGTAAGTCTAAACACGCTACTATTATCATGACATCCATTGCTTCTATTTACCAGCCTCTGCCAGTAACATGCCCACTCCCTTTCCTAGCTTTAAGGACCGTTTCCTCTAAGAAATACTAGGTGCAGCATAACCCTTAAATAATCGCAATTATTGTAGAAGTTACAGCCTAAAGAGAAATCAACTTGTCAGTCTAGAGAGAACAGTGGCAACCATTCTTCACATGCACTTGTCTTAGAATAAACCCCCCTCGGCGGTCAGGCCACGGTCAGGCTATAGAACCTCCCACGGCCACCAATCCCCTCTACGCTATGTCCCTGCCACCTCCTGACCCATCCCCACATTGGCATTCACTCACCTTTCCCACCCCCCAAAAGTGCGGTTCACGGTAGCTTCCTAGGATATGGTCCGTGGGTGTCCCAGAAGACATGCTTTCTTAAAATCTCCCTCTGAGCACCACGGGTGAAAGAAGATAATTCATGTTCTCACCATTGCTCTTAAGCTTCCACCAGGTCCAAACAATGTGTTCTGAACACTTGAGTGTGTGTCTGTGTGAGTTTTAAAATTATTTTGGCGCCCTGTGATACAATGGAGAAAACATCTCAGTTTCCCCAAACAGAGGGAAGAGGGGACAGAGATGTGGGCTAAGTGATCCCAGTCTGGCTAAGTGTCCAGTTCTCCTCCTGGCTCCGGTTCCTTCACAGAAACTAGTTATTGCTTCCACACTGCCGCCACAGGGAGCGTTCTGCAAAGGCCGTGACCCTGGTCACAGTTCACCTGCAATGGCTCTGCTCTGAAGAACACGCCAGCCCAAGAGCTCTTATCAGAGGGGGAATTCTTCAGCCCTCAAGGTCACTGAAACCTGGTTAGTGCAGTTGAGAGTAAATGCAAACTATTTGGCTTAGGTTAAATGATTATTGGCACGATGTTTCTTGAGTTTCATGTGTAAATGTGATTTGCACATGGGCCACAGCCCTGGTTGGATCAGCCAATCTGCACCATTTTTATGTCAGCAATAACCCCATCTCTTCCTTTTGAGCACTGTAGGGAGAGTTGCTTCATACGGGTTTCCAGGGCCTGGCCCTCAAGGGACGTGCTGCTTCTGCTCCTGCCCCTGCCGCCACCACTGCTGCTGTTGCCGAGAATTCGGTTGTTGTTGGCTTTGTCGTTCGTTTTATTCTCAGCCCCTTCCGCTCTGTCTCCTGTGGAGATACAAAGGTTGCCAAATGGGAGTTGACAGTTCCAAGAGTCCCACAGGCACTGGCATCAGCCGCCTGAGCCAGCCTCTGTGGTTCCCACTGCCGCCCACCAGGCATCTCGGGTTTCTCCAGCACTGGATGATGCACGGCATTTATTCCTTAGTGTGCTATCTTTTTGTAGAGGACTGTTCTAAGGAGAGACACGGGACCTCAGTTCTGTGTGATTGAAGCCGGCCAGGCAGGGGCCCCAGAAGAGCCCCGAGCAAAGGTATAGACAGTACACAAGTTGGGCTGCAACTTACCTCGTTCTACCTCACATTCGGGGGAGGAGGCCCCGCTGCATTCACTTCGAGGGCCCAGAATTGGAAACATCATTCCAAATTCAGACAGGGACACGGGGCTGGGCAGATCCAAGCTGCCGGGCCTTGCTACTGCAGGGTACTGGTCAGGCATTTCCGATGGACTCGTCGGTCCTGAACTAAAGCTGGATACAGACTGGGTTTCTGAGTCATCTTCAGACACTAAGTTGCTGCAGTTGTCGTCTTCAAAGGCTTCGGAAGCCACTATGATGAGAGAGGACATCAGTCACACGGAGTCTGCTAAGTAGCTCCCCAGTTCCTAAAGGCTTGATGCTCTCTGTGGGCAGGCAGTCCCACAGCATGGAGTCTGCTGGGCCTACACCTTTCCTGAGCCTTCTCACCAGCCTCCACAGCATTTGAAAGGAAGCGGCAGCAGTTAGCTCCTGGGCAAAGTCGGTGTTCTAGAGGAACTTCACTCCTGCTCTATAATCTGTGCCAGCAAGTGCTACCTAGGGAAAGGCTAGCTAGGCATGGCTAGGGCAGAGTGCACGTCTAGTACATACAAAGGTTTCCATCCCCAGCACTGAAGGAAAGGGGAGACAGATAAATTTAGACACTAGCCCTTTGTAATGTGTCCGACAACAGAGGCAATCTTACAGCGAAGACTGGAGGTCTTCCTTCTGGCATACGCAGCAAGAGCTGCCGGAATGTCTGTAGCATCTTCTGATCTCATGAGACGCCCTCAGCTGTTTGCAACAAAGAACAACACTCATTCTCAGTGTTCTGACTGTGCCCGAGTCTGTGGATCAGAATAGCCGAGGCGCAGAGACGCCATATTCTTTTCAGTCTCTCAGCCTGCATTCTCGCTTCTAAGACCCTTCCTAGTTCCCTTTACGCCTATGACATCTTTAAAAATGACCTTATAGCATTCCAGAGAGGATTGTTATAAGCACTATACTGCTTCAGACAGGCAGAATGAATTCAGATCCTAACTCCATTTCTGACTGTGTGGCCTTGTCACGCTCTACAGGCAGGACTAATGAAGTGACGTATAAAGTAACTCCCTCATAGCCATTGATTGCATTATAATTTCATTTCCCTTCAGCCTGGCAATTCAGCATCTGCTGATGGCCTTCAAGAATTGCTGAGGATGGGGCTTGAGATGGCCCAGAGGTGAAGAACACCTGCTGCTCTTCCAGAGGACCCAGGTTTGATTCCCAGCACTCACACAGAAGCTCGCAACTGCCTGCAATTCCAGAGGACCCGACATCCTCTTCTAACACCTGGCAAGCATGCGGTACACACAGACACACGTAGGGAAGACACTCCTACACAGAACGTCCGAGGATGAGGCCTAAAGCAGCCACAACAGATCATTCCACGGGAAAAGAAAAGCCGTGAAGTGTTGAGTGTCACAGTGTAGTTTTCTTGATGATAAGCACACACTAAATTCTCTATCCTATCTGCACAGGACATCCCCGGACAGACGAGACCCGTGTGGTCAGACCCCAGGGAGGCCTGCCAGCTGTCACTTCTCACAACCCTCCTCAGCACGCTACACAGCACAGGAGACACTGTCCCCATCACACAGTGTCCCGCATGAAGGCCCACTATAGCCCACACGCAGTGGTAAAGTGGGGTCGGAGTCAAACCTGGGCCCCAAGTCCCTTTTAAATCTGTCCTCAACTTCTTAAAGTCGTGAATGTTCTAATGTGTACTTAGGCTCTTTAAGAGGGGTGGAGGTGGAACAGGGACACTTCCCAAACTTACCTGACCACAGAATGCTAACATTCAGCAGCAAGCCAACGAACACAGTGTCCCACAAAACACGAGAAACCACCCAAACAGCCCGCAGGGCTGCCCAGTTCTCCCGTTCTCCAGCAAAGATGGGCAAAGGATAGGGACTGCGGCCCTGAAAGCAGATCACACACGCTGTGTGGTCCCTGCCGGAGACACTCACCAGAAATGGCATCAGGCTCAGGCTTGTTCCCAGACAGACTCTCCACGGATGAGACGCTGCCCTCAGCCCCCACGCCACAGCCCCGAGGACCCATGGCATTGGAACGCCGCCGCTCATGTATCTCGTCAGAGATCCTCTCCAGGCTCTTCAGGGCCGCCTTGTACTCGCCTTTCGCCAGGGCCAGCTTGGCCTGAAGGTCATCCACTGTCTTCTTCAGTTGCTAATGGGAAGGCGGAGGACCCGGTGAGCCAGCCAAAGTGACTCTGCCTCTATCCCCATTGAGAGAGGGGCTTCACATGACTACAACACAGAACTCCCTAAAATGCCCGACATGATCATGATGGTCTTAAGGAGGATCCCATTACTTTCATCATAGCTACCCATTCACTATAAAAAAAAAAAAATCATGGGCTGGAGAGATGGCTCAAAGGTTAAGAGCACTGGCTAGTCTTCGAGAGGTCCTGAGTTCGATTCCCAGCAACCACATGGTGGCTCACAACCATCTGTAATGAGATCTCACACCCTCTTCTGGCATGCATGCCAGAACACTATATGCATAATAAATAAATAAATCTTTAAAAAAAGAAAGAAAAGAAAATCAGTACATGTCCACACCAGTCCATGTGATAGATGAGACTAGGCAGAAATGGTAATTAATACAATGTGGCCCCCAGGGAAGGAACAGGAGACACCTAAGTCCCGTAGCCTCCTTACTTGGTCCCAGACAGAGTTCTTCGTCTTGTATCTGAATCACCTGTAGGGCCACTTACAATGCAGATGGCTGACCCAACCCCAAAGGTTCTGAGAGCAGGGTGCAGAGCCTGGGAACTGTACTACCAAAAAGTTTCCGGGACTACTGACCTTGGGAGCTCACACTGAGACCTAGTAAGTTTAGTGTGATTCAGTGAGCAGGGGGCACTAGCTCCAGACAACACCCAAGACTATCTGAGAACCAAAGCCTAGGAATACATTTCTCCATTCTCCTCTCACAGCACTTGGGTCACCCAAAGGCCTGCCATACCACACTAAAGTCGAGTTTTGAGTGTGGGGAGGGTTGGAGAACAACACAGTGGCAAATCCAAGGTCACACATACCTCCAGCTGCACGTAGTACTTAGCCTTGAGCTCAAAATAAGGCCTGCAGAAGACAGGAAGAAAATATAAGACTAGGATCTCATGGTGAACTCCTGCAGATACATCCATGTCAGCTGGTCGGGCCATACAGGATTTAGGCCACGGCAGTGACAAAGACACCGGCAGAGCTACTGGTTGGCCCAAGGCCTCAATAGATACGTAAGGTCAGTAGCCTCCTCAGGATTCTGGAAACCTTGCATCCTGGTTCATTTTACTCTAGGGAGACTGCTTGGATCTACTGACCAATAGAAGAAGAGGGGCTGAACAACAAGTGCTAAAAAAAAACTTTCCCTCTGCTGAGACCAACTGTGGGAGGAAGAGACACCACTCCGTGTCAGCTGGGCACAGCAGGACATCCTCAGCCTCAAGTCAGCCCTCTTGCTCCCTGATCAAGGCCAGGTGCCAGCCGCTGAAGCAACCAGGTCACAGGAAAGGAAAAAGTGGAGTCCCCTGGACTCCGGGTCAGACAGAAGAGCTGGCACTTGGTAGCAGCTCTGGTGTCTGAGCGAGTCCCGCATCTGTAATGGCGGGTGACAACACACTGCAGGACCGCTTTGGCGCCTAAGGAAACATCTGAGATGTGGGCATGAGCTCCTTTTAGTGACCAAACAGAGTGGACATCAGCCCCGTCGAGGTGCAGAGGAAGTATGGTAGGTGCCCACGGGATGTCCAGGTAAGAGGAATGTGAGCATGGGCGTCAGCGATGGGGAACAAGGGAAGGGATGTGACCAAAGCAACGGGAAGGAGGGGTGGACCCGCCAGAGCCCCTGAAGCCACTCCACGGAAGGCACTGACTGGCATCTAGTCTCATAGGCAGAAAAGAGGCATCCAAAGGTATCTGGAGAGGCTGGCAGAGTGTGGCCGCGGGGATTTTGTTTCCTTAGTGATGAGGGGCAGGTTGAGTGTGAGAGGAGAGCACAGGGGGGCACCGGGGACTTTAAACTCCATGCATTCACACCAAGCAAGGCGAGCAGCTTGGAAGGCTTCTCCCTAAGCCACGGGGTAGGGGAAGGGAGGGGCTTCCAGGGACCCTCACCACCTCTCCCAGTGGTGTCCCCCGAGACGGTCCCATATATCTGTCTACTCAAGGACAGTAGCAAACACGGACATTTTCTATAGATGCGTGTGAGAAATCTGAGGGCAAGCCCCGGAGAAGACACGGGGGCAGTTCAGAGCAGACAGGATCAACCTCTCCCTTTAGTAACTCCTCTTACTCACCCTGTGCGTCCTCTCACCTGAACACAGGTTCTCTGTCAAGCTTCTGGCTGCCCAGTCCCAAGAGGAGCAGACAATAGCTTAGCAAATGCTTTCTGTCCCAGCTCTGATTCACTGTTGGGTCCTCCCGGAGGCCCAGGGAATGAAGCGGGGACCCTGTCCCTCCAGCCATGTTTTCCCACTCTAACCATTACTCTGTCAACACACTAGGGAGAAGAGCTTGGGGAAAGCGCCACTGGCCAGTCTTGTAGCGTTTCACCAGCTCTCAGTCCACGGAGACCACGGAATGCAGAGCAGAACTCACCCCTGCTACGCTGACAGGTAAACCGAGGGACAGGGCCTTGTCCGGTCCATACCATCAGCTACAGAGCTGGGAGTACAAGCCGAGTCGTCCTCCCCACCCCCAAGCACAGCCTATAGGCCAGGTAGATAATGGTTTGCTTTGGAAATTCCTTTTTCTGTGTGGCCCATGAGAGTCGAATCTGGAGCAATTCTCCTGCCGGCCCCCCTTGCCCACGGCAGCAGCGATGGGTGTCACATATGACGGCTGAGGCACAGGGCACTAGGCAGGGAGCTCCAGGGCCTAGCTATATAAAGTGCTTGCTTAGGCAGCCCCTCAGTGGAAGTGGGTAAGAGGCGGATGCAGACGAGAGCTGCTCCCGCCCAGGGAAGAGCGCGCCCAGACTTACTTGGACTTGCTGATGGCCCGCTTGAGCTTCTTCTCCAGCTGCCGCATACGGCCCATGGCCGCGTTGTACCTGGCTGCAGTCTCCTTGTGCACCAGTTCACTCCTCGTCTTGGTCTGCTCCGCCTCCATGACCTTTCAAACGACAGCAGAGGTCAGCCTGGGCAAGCCCAGGACGGCTCCCCGGCTGGCATATACGGCTTATACTCGAGTCATTTAAGAAAACAGAAAGAGGTTTCCCTTGAGTAAATCTACAGAAGATCAAGATTAAATGTCGGTAACACAGGATCCGCTTTCTTCCTGATACGGTTTTGAAAACGTATACGTTAGCCTGCCGGATAACATACCCAAGTTGACTATAACAGTGACTGGGAAGTAAAATCAAAACGTGAAAAAAATCCTGAGAAATCTGTGAAATACCCAGATTCAACCGTTATCTATTTCCTTCCGCATGGACCTGTGGAATCTGGGAGAAGCCTGGGGCCAGCCTGATGGGACAGGCAAATGGCCAAACAGCGCCAGAAAAGCCCAAAGGTCCTGAAGTTAGCTGGGCACAGAAAAGTCCGGAACACAAAGGGAGTCAGACTTCACATTTAACCAGTTATAATTAAAATTAAAATGAAAGGTGTTCATATTAGAGTTTGAGGTTTGCAAAAATCCACCATCAAGAGAAAGGCAGGGTTCTGGTGGAACACGGAACTAACCCTGTGGATAATACAACAGCAAGAGTCCTGAGCCCTGCAAACCGAGGAGAGCCGCGACAGCGTGGTCTTCCCTGTTTTTAAAGAAGCATCAGAGCAAGGCCTGGCCTGCGCGGGCAGCTACTGACCCGTCTTCTCTGTATAGCTGCCATACACTGCAGAACCAGAGGGATGGCGAGGCCACCGGGTCAGTCTCTGTTAACCCGAGAGGAGGGGCGGGAGGAGGAGTGGCCCTTGGCTACTCTCCGGGAGACCCCGGCAGGACACCTGTAGAGAGCCCTGTCTGTGGTGTCTGTGACTTGAGGGTAAGAGGAGGTTCATGGAAAGGTCACTGGCATCATCTGCCGTCCAGTCAGCCATGGTTCAGTGGTGACCCCTGGGACTGGTGCGATCAGGAAAGAAAACAGGACCGGCTGGCATCATGAGCAGTCAGGAGAAGTCACTGGTGAAGGTGGAGACCCCAGGATATGGGAGGAGCCAGGACTATGGGACAAGCACAAGGAAGGACAGAGTGGAGGCTGCCCGAGGCTAGGAGACAAGCTGTGCGTGGCGGCGCTGGAGACGTGGGGCCCTGTGGATCAGACGATGAGTGAGTTCCAGACACCGGACAAAGAGCTATAGAATTCAGTTCAGACTGCTGGATGCTGGGCTTCTCTTTGACTTGTTTCTATATTCCCTCTGAAGAAAGTATTTAACTCTTTTTTTTTTAAAACAAGAATCCAGAGTTAAGAGACTTTGTTTGGACTTTTTGTGCTGAATTTTTTGACAATGGGACATTTAAAAACATTTTTAGACGTAATTATTATTATTTTATGTGAGTGTTTTGCCTGCATGTATGTCTGTGTACCACACGAGCGCCTGTTGCCTGTAGAAGCCAGAGGAGGGTGTTGGATTCCCCTGGAACTGGACTTACAGGCAGTTATGAGTCAACAGGTGGGTGCTGGGAACAGAGCCTGAGTCCTCTGGGAGAGCAGCCAGTGCTATTTACTGCTGAGGCATCTCTCCAGCCCACCAGGGCACTCTGAAATGTTTGGCTGTATTTTATTGTTTTTGAGACAGGGTCTTTACTGTATAGCTCTGGCTGACCTGGAACTCAATTTGTAGGACCAGCTGACCTTGAATTTTCAAAGATCCATCTGCGTCAGCCTCCTGAAGGCTGGGATGAAAGGTGTGCACCACATGCCTGGCTCTGGCCTGTATTTTACACTGTGATATTAGTAAGAGGTCTCGGGACCATGGTCTAACAATGATGGGCTCGTGTATCAAACTGACAAGGGGCCAACAGTGCTGGTTAATTGTTGTCAGCTTGACTTAAGATGGGGTCGCTCGGGAAGGAGTGACTCCCTCAGACTGCCCTGTTGACTAAGCTGTGGGTCATTTCTTTCTTTTTCCTTTTTTTTTTTGATCAATGACTAAATCCAATTACTGGAATCCAAATTATCAGGAGCTAGTATAACATAAAAATTTCTTCCTTTATCAGGTCAAACCACTGCCATGATAATGTTTTTATGCTTGTGGAATAATAATTATGCTTTCACCTTATTACAATGTGTGTTTTATAAAGGTATAGTAATTTCTGAGGAAAAGAGGAGAGAAGAGAGTCAGGCTGTAGCGAGGCAACCTGCTGACTAAAGCAACTCCTTGGGAGTTAGAAGAATCCTTCCCTTTTTCATTCTAACACAATGGAACAAAATACACTAATAGTGTCTCATGCTTGACACTTGGGGAAACAGCAGTAACTCCAGTCTAGTCTTGAATCTTAAGTGTTAAATGAGTCGTATTATTATTATTATTATTATTATTATTATTTTAGTTTTTTGAGACAGGATTTCTCTGTGTAACAGTTCTGGCCATCCAGAAACTCACTTGGTAGAACAGGTTGGCCTTGTACTCACAGAGATCTTGTCTCTGCTTCCTGAGTACTAGGAGTAAAGGTACTTGCCACCACCGGGCTGGGCTTTTATTGAATTATTGACCTAATTTTACGGAGACTGAAAACCCCATGTGATTGGGGGGGGAGTCCTTCTGTGTATATGTTTGTCTGATTGGTTGATAAATAAAACACTGTTGGCCAATAGGGAAGCAAGATAGGTGGGACTAGGAGTTGAGGAGGATTCTGGGAAATGTAGTCAAAAAGTAGAGAGTCGCCATATGATCCCGGGACTGGAGGACACAAGTCTGGCGTTCTCGGTAAGATAAGACCTTATAAAAACATATATTAGTAATTATGCGTTAATAATTAAGTCAGAGCTAGCCATTAAGAAACCACAGCAAACGGCCAACAGCTTTATAGTTAATGTAGCGTCCTGCGTGTTCATTTGGGACTGACGCAGCTCAGGGACCAGGCTGGCGGGAAGAGCCACGTTAAACCCATGCTTCTCAGACTACACATCAGAGGCGAGGATTTCTGTACGTAACTGAATGGATCCACCCGGAGTAGACACAACCGAAAAGCCGCTGAACAGGAAGTGTCTCCTGGGAGAAGCAGGCGCTCCCCAGCTGGACACAGGCCCTCATTCTGCCTCAGCTCCCGGGCTGCAAACAGGCCGAATGGCTGCCTCAACTTAAACGCCCACATGCCCCAGGCACGCTCGGCTGTACTGCCGGCAACGCCGTGTGTCTCACCGTAAACTATTTGCCTTATCACTGTACTCCGTGTGCATCTCCCTCTCCATCTACGCGGCCTCCAGCTCTGCAAAGATACCCCACCACTACACACGGAGCTTCCTGCCCCATGGCCACCAAGCATGTCACCTTGGTTGCCCAGGCAACCAAGGAGCTCCCTCCAGTTGCAGCCTAGAGTCACGCATAGCTGTGTGCAGTGATGGGGGCGGGAAGTCAGGCATGACGGGGAGGCAAAGTCGGGGTCCCAGGGACAGACAGAAGTCCCCCCCCAAGAAATGCAGGGCCAGCATGGAGCAACAGAGACGGAGCCATGGAGGAAAGCCTTCCCTGGGCCACCCCTGGCTCCCCCCTTGGTCAGGTATTTAGTCCAGACTCAGATCCTTGTTCCCACCTCTACAAGGTACTCTTCTGTTTTACTGCCACCCCTTCTCACTGGTCAAGCACCTACTGGGGCAAAACAAAACAAAACAAAAACAAAAACAAGAGGCCAAACCTGGAGGTGATAGTCTAGCAGGGTATGAAAACTCCTGCTGCAGTATGTATTATTATTCAAAGATCCCAGTGTAGGATCCAGGCGGCTGGGCTGGCTCTGGCCACTCAGAAGAGCTGGGACAGCAGAGGCAGCATTTGGAGAGGGGTCTTGAGTATGTGGCATTTTGGGCAGTTGGTGGGAGTAAGTGTGTAACTGGTTTTGGTTTCATTATCTGAGATGCTGTATTCTCCACATATCCCCTGTACCATCTGGTACATGGTACAGGTTAACCCCATGTACCACCACGCCCAGCTTGGACGAGACACTTCTAACAGGCTTCAGCTTTCTTCTGCATCCATACGCCCCATTTGCCACTGCCATGGTATGACCCCCACGGGACACACAGGAGATGGGCAGTGGTGCTCAGCTCTCTCCACCCCTCTCTGAGCTAGAAGGCCAAAGGTGAACTTAGCTCAAGGAAACCAACTGTCTAAGGTGAAAGAGGTCTTCTCCTTCATTCAGGCAGTTTAGAATATTCTCCCGACATGGGCCTCGTCCTGGGGCCCCATCCACAGCCTCTCTCTAACCTGAAGCATCTATCCAGGTGGAGAGGGGCTTTCCCATCTCCTCACGGCCTCACTGAACAGCTCCAGACTGTTTGCTCTACACTAAGGAGGGGGCATTAGATGGCCCTTGACCCCCTTCAAGCAGTCTTCCATCCCAGCCTTCATGGCCATCCTGGAAGCCTGGAGGAGAGGCTGGCCACCTCTTCTCTCCAGGGGCCCCTGCTGCCAGCTTATCAACAAGGATTGCCTTCCCGAGTCCAAGCCACATTTCCCTCTTCTGCCACCTGGCCCTCCATAGTAGGCATCGGGAAAGCCAATTTCTCTCTGCCAGGCTGCCAGCACTCCTGTCTCGGAAAATTGAAAGCCGCTGCCTTCCCCAAAAGACTGCTTCAATATCAAAGCAGTCAAGTGCTGGAAATGTCTCCGCCGCCAAAACTCCCTCCGGTGCTGAGAAACGGCAGACACAGCCGTGTGCCCCAGGGGAGGCTGCTCAGCTACAGGCTTGGCAGTGATGCTGGAACTAACCGAGAACTGTCCCCATGGCCTGTCTGTGATGTCACATGTGACCACTAGAGGAGGATATCGGGGCTCCTGAGCACCTAGGGTGTTAGCTTCTGCTAAAGCTTCAAGTACGGCCATCTAATGCTATAAGAAACTCCACTCCCCAAGGAAACAGGCTTTCTGGCGTCTCCATGAGTCAGCTAGTCCCTGCACGGTCTTCTGCTAAGGCAGCCCTGGCGGCATGCTAGCCCCACGAGGTCTGGGAAACGGTCCATAGAACTCCCACTGGGAGGAATGCTCACTTCAGACAGAGGGTCACAGTCACTCATGCCACTTCAGAGCCAAACATGAGCATCTGGACTGCAGGAAGGACTGGGTCTACATTACCCAGCAGGCTGAGGCTCCAAATAGCGTATCGAGATGTAGGGGAAAGGTTGTGGTCTCCAGAGCACTTTTATGGTTTTTTTCCCCCGTTACCAGGGATGGATTTGGCTTCTTACAGGCTAAGGGCAAGTGCTTGTACTACCGAGCCATCTGCTCTGAGGAGAGAATCATTTCTCACCAGTTCAAGGAGATTCTTCCTAGGGCTATGCAACCATGATGGAACCAAAAAAAAGGAAACGCCACCCCTGAAGGGAAGGCCAAGCCTGTGACTCAGAACTCCCTGCTGGTTCACACAGGTTGCGGCCACCATAGCACAGGAACCAGATGCCTGGGTCCTTTGTTTTGGTGGCCAGAGGGTACATATCCGGTGGCCCATGGGCCACTGTGAAGCCCTGATGGGAGATGTCATTCTGTAAATCTGTCTCTCTTATTGGTTGTTGAATAAAGCACTGTTGGCCAATAGGGAAACAAGATAGGCGGGACTAGGAGTCAAGGAGGATTCTGGGAACGAGAGGCAGAGGGAAACACCATGTAGACCGCCAGAGTAAGAGGTCCGGACCCTTTTCTCCGGTAAGAGAAATACTTAGATTAACAGTTATGGGGTAAATACTTAAGTCAGAGATAGCCAGTAAGAAACCAAGCAAACGGCCATCAGCTTCATAATTAATATAGTGTCCTGTGTGTTATTTGGGGGTTCAGACAGCGCGGCAGGGCCCAGGCGACTGGCAAGGAAGACTGCACTCTACAAAGCTCCAACTGACCTGAGGAGGTCTGACGCTATCTCGTAAAGCTCCAGCAGACTGTTTTATGCGGACCCCAGAACACTGTTTCCAAAGACTAAGCATGTGGACAGTGTGAGGGTCTCAGGAGTCTAACCCACTACCATCAGCCCCATGGCTAAAATGTGGATTTTCTTATTTCATAGTAACAGATGCAGTGTTTTCTTTCTCCTTCCTTAAAAGGTAGGGTTCCCTACGTAGCCCAGGTTAGCCTTGATCCCCACCCCTCCGGCATTATAGGCATACACCACCATACGCAGGTTCATTTGGTGATTTCTGAAATGCTGCTACAGGTCTACAGCTTTGGAGGGCAAGAGGTTCAAGAGGAAAGGCAGGTTTCCTGCGGCTGGTTTAGTTGCTTCTTTTCCTCTACCAGGCTTGGCTTCGCACGTTTCCCAGCCTCCCCTTTAGGTTTGTCTACAGCTGACCCAGTAAGAATCTTCTCAGCCTTGCTGGGTCTACAAGCATCATGGCCACCAGGGGGCAGGAAGCTCACGGCCACAAGCCACAGGCATCTTGTCCACAGCCCCAGGTAGAGTTGGTAGAAAGTCAAGTCCGATCTGCCTCCTGAAGCCATTTGTATGTCAGGCTTTTCTATTTAAAGATACTCAAGGCCACCTTTAATCATCAGAACCCCCAGGGACTTTGCGCAACTGTGGCAGGTGGCTCTGATGGGGGGGGGGAGCAGCCACAGGGACTGACTGACTCCGACAGGCAGCCTTCCTGTCACTCACTGAAACCAAAGCTACAGTCTGCACCCAGGGACTGCAGCTCATCCGCTTGCCCTTTAACAGCCCCGTGGCCTCGTGGGAGGACAGGCTGGCACCCAGGGGACCAAGAATCAGGAGAGCCACAGCTGTACCTGGCAGAAGGGAGCAGCATCCAGGGATAGTCTGTGACACGCCCCTCTCCAGCAAACCCAAGCCCCCAGTGTCAAACCGTGGCCCTAACTGCTAGAGTAGCAATGTCGCCAGTGTGGTGACACTTGTGGGCCTCGAGGGAACAGGGCTGTAGGACCAGTGCCCTTCACGCAAGGGCCCCGAGGGGGCGGGGATGTGCTTGCCTGCAACGTGAAAATTCCCGGGTTCAATGCCTAGCACAGGAAGGCCCTGCGTACTTGTCAGTTCAAGAGGAGAGACGGCCCTCTGAGAGCCAGAAACAAGTTAAGATACCGCACAAGTCGGCCTTGGCTCTGGGCGGACTTCCTGGCTTCCAGAACTGTGAGAGAAAAAACTGCCCAGGCAGTTTACGGTATTTTGTTTAGTAGCCTACCTAGACCAAGACAATCATCGCTTCCAGTTCCGAGGAAGGTGGCCAGAGAGGAAGTCTGTCCTGGGAGCAGTTAGAGAGCCGAATAATGGTGACATAAATCCCACATGACAACCACGCCCAGCTAGTAATGCCTACGACAAGCTACTCCCCAGACCCCAACTTCACCTGGGAAGTTGACTGAGTGCCCACTTGATTCTGGCCGAGGCACTTCACCCACCGACATACACACCCAAGGGCAGGTTGAGACTGTTAACGGGCTTTCCACGGGGGTGAGCTGGGGTGGGGGTGGGGGGTTGGTCCTTCTGGTGTACTAGGAGTTGACCTTGGAGAGTATCCTGGTCCCTCTGGGAAACCAGACTCCACTGCCAAGACATTCAGGGACCATATGAACCAGACAAGTTTCAGGCAATATAGAGAAAGATTATGCTCACATGTCCCTGGGAGACTGTCATGCCTGAGTGTGACTTAAAGTCAGGCCAGCCAAAGACTACATAAAGCATACAGCCCATGACCATTACAGGAGCCTAGGTCTCTACTCCTGTGGGGAGACAAACAATATGCAGCATATAGGCCAGGGACCCACGACCAGCATCCACACGGGTCACCCTACCCTCTGAGTCGCGTGATTCAGCATCTCCTGCCAAGCGGAGTCGAACTGCCGTTTGTCATCCTCCAGCAGCCGCTGCTCGGCCAGGGAGATGGTCTCCTTGGCAGCACGGAGCACCTCAGTGGCCCTCTGGAAGTCCTGTGTGGCTTTCTGAGCTTCCAGCTGAGCCTGTTGAGAGAGAAGGTCTTGTGAGGCCTGAGGCAAAGGCCAGGAGTCCCACCCTGAGAGAGAAGTCGCAGTTCCTCCATACATGGGACAGGGTAACAGGCAGCTGACGGCTGAGTGGAACCCAGAGAGGTGAGCAGGCAGTCTTCAGTAGATAAGTCAATGCATGGGTGTTGCATCTGTGATGGCCACGGCTAAGCCGGCTGTAGCCATTCTCCAACGCCCTGGCTCAGAAACAAAGCCCAGGCAGGCGCAGCGGTCCTGGGCACCTACCTTCCCTGCACGTAGAACCCAAGTGCCCCAGAAAACATAGTTGTGGGACTTCATGCTACAGAGGAGACGTAGGAGCTGAAAACAGCCTCTCCTGAGATTCCAAAGCTCGCCAGAAGCAAGGCTTCAGGCAAACGTCCCACACGAGTGCCAGCCTAGCGCGGCCACTGTCTCAACCCACACTAACTGCAGAGGCAGGCCAAGGATGGCAGTAGCCAGGCCTGGGACCTACTACCAAAACAACCCTGCCTTCAGGAAGGCATCGGTAACACAAACTGCAGCCATCCTCACAGCCGCAGCAGCCCTCAGCCTGGTTCGTGATGCTTGTGTGTATATGCGTGTGTACACGCGTGTATGTGTACGGATACATGTGTGTACATGTGCGTGCTCGTGCGTGTACATGCTGAGAAGCCCGAGGTTAATCTTGGAGCCTTGTTCCCTGTGACAAGGTTTCTCACTGGCCTGAAATTCACCTAAGATAGGCGTCCAGCCAGTGAACTCCAGGAACCCATTCATCCCTCCAGTGCTGGGATTGCAAAGTCCATACCACCAGGCCTGGCTTCCTTATACAGGTTTTAGGTATTGAGAGGCCAGGCCCCGCTGCTTGCACAATGAGCACTTTTCTGGCTGAGCAATCTCAGGTCAAATGTGGTTATGAAGAAATGAATGCAGCCGAGCGTTGGTGGCGCACGCCTTTAATCCCAGCACTCGGGAGGCAGAGGCAGGCAGATCTCTGTGAGTTCAAGGCCAGCCTGGTCTACAGAGTGAGTTCCAGGATAGCCTCCAAAACAATACAGAGAAGCCCGGTCTCGAAAAGAAAAAAAAAAAAAAAAGAAATGAATGCAAACCTCTCTTGTGGCCTGGAGAGAGCTCAGTGGTTGATGTGCTTGCTACACAGGCGAGAGGACTAGAGGTTCAAATCCCCAAAACTCACATAAACGCGGGGGAGGTGTGGCAGCTTCCACTGCTCGGAAATGAAGACAGTGGACCCTCGAAGCCAGCTGGTGAGAGAGACTAGCTATATCCCAAGAGCTCTGGGTTTGACTGGGACCTGCCTCCAAGAAAATAAGGTGGACAAATTGATTGGGGGAGATTCCTGATACCCACACACACACATGCACATGTACTCACACATTCATGAATACCTGGCCCATGAGTGTACCACGCATGTGACTATACAAACACACATGTTTGCACACCACACACATTCACATGAAAAGAAAAAAATACCTCATTTCGCAGGCTCAGTATAAAAAAGATGTTAATTATCCCATTAGCCATTTTTCTGATCAGTGATGAGATATTTGAGATATACTAGACTGCCGGAAACTATAAATTTGCATACATAGGGGACTCTCACACAACTACTTTTGGACAGTAGCGCTCCTCCTTCAAGAGTGGGCTATGCTATGGGATGTGATTGTGCGACTGCGTCAGAAACAGGGCTGGGGAGACGGATGGGTGGGAAGGGCGCTTTGGTGTACAAGCGTAAGGACCTAAGTTCAGGTCCCCAGATCCCACATAAAGCCAGATCTAGTAGCACACATCTATAATCCCGGCACTCCAGGGCAAGACAGGAGATGTCGGGGACAGGAGACTCCCCAGAAGCTCACAGGCCAGCTGCTAGCCCAGTGGACTCGGGACGAAATGAGACCATCTCCAACGAGGTAAATGGCAGGAGCCGACACCCGAGGCTGCCCTCCGACCTCCACCACACTGCAGCACCCGCCCCCCCAATAAAGAAAGCAACACACACTACAGGCCCCACTCTCCCTGGGCTCACCTCCAGTTTCCTACCAGAGCAGGGGCAGGCCACTGCTACATGCTAATCTGCCACAGCTCCCCACATCCTGCCCCCACCCCCAGTCAACAGGGTCCCTGGGCCAATTACAGAAGCCCTGTTGGGGACACTAACAGGACAGCCCCTGGGACTCAGGAGGGGAACCACAGGGTCCCACCCTTCCCCACAGAAAGTCTCCCATGACTTGGAGGAATCTTCACGCTGACTGAAGGTGCTTTGCAAAGAAAATGAAGGGGAAAAGAAACCGAGAGTACAGAGTGCAGCAGCAGCCCTCGGCGGGGAAACAGCTCAGTGACCCATGGTGACCTGCCTGCTCACACCCACAGTCCCAGCCCTCAGACCAGAGATCCACCCAGGACACCGAGACCCGCCTGTGGCTGGAGCGCACAAATCTACGCTTCCAGGGTTGTGCACGAGGGCAGGAGGAGGAGGTGGACTTGCTTCCCTAAAGAAAGGTCCCGAAGAGAGGCCTGACAGGCAAGGGAGGAGCTGTAGTTCAGGTGATTTGGAGACCAGAGAGAGCATTTGAGACTCTGGAGTTAAGGGGAGTGGGGGACCTGTAGGAGGTCTGTAATGCTGAAAGGGAGCGCTCGTTTTGTTTTGTTTTCGTTTGGCTGGTTTTGTTTTGTTTTTGTTTGTCAAGCGCTTATTTTGTTTTCGTTTGACTGCTTTTTGTTTTGTTTGGGTGTTTCTCTGTATAACAGCTCCGACTGTCCTGAAACTCGCTCTGTAGACCAGGCTGGCTTTGAACTCACAAAGACGCACCTGTCACTACCTCCCAAGTACTGGGATTAGAGGAGTGTGCTGCCACCACCTGTCAAGGAGCACTTTTAAAAAGTCAGCCTGGGCTTACAAGATCCTGTTTCAATAAACAAATAAATAAATGCCTTAATGAATAGCCACCTACCAGCTGACTACATCCACTGGGATAGCCTGAGCCACACAGGGATAGGGATGCCCACCCTCTCTAGAGCTGACCAGCCACTGAAAAGTCACTGGATGACAGACAGCAGGACGCTCCCTCCCCAGCTGAGCCTCCTACCCATCCTTCCCTCTCCCAGGAAAGCCCGCCCCTGGGCCTCCATCTCTCCAGACAGGTTCAGTAAAGGGTGGATTGTGACCAACCTCAATCTACCCACAGCTTTAAAACCAGCTCTAAGACACAGGAATTCATCCCCCTCGAACCCTAACATTTTCTTAAAATGGGATCTCTGCCCCCTTCTTCCATTTGTTCATCTGCTTATTTAGTTTTTGAGCTGTCTTCCTTTGAGGCTTTGAGGTTGGGCTCAAACTCAAGGCAATCCCTTGCCCTTCTAGAGTCTGAGATTACAAAGATGAGTCAAATCACTCTGATTTTTAAGGTCTCGTTAAATAGCATTGGCTGGCCTGGAACTTGCCACAATCCTCCTGTCTCTGCCTCCCAACTACACCAACCCAGCCTTTGTGGTTTGTTTATGGGGTGTGTGGGGAGTTATGTGCACATCTGTGTTCATTTGTTACAAGTTTTTAAAAGATTTATTTAAAAAATAAATGTATACAGTGTTCTGTCTGCATGTATCCCTGCAGGGCACCAAATCTCATTAGAGATGGTTGTGAGCCACCATGCGGTTGCTGGGACTTGAACCCAGGGCCTCTGGAAGAGCAGCCAGTGCTCTTAACCTCTGAGCCATCTCTCCAGCCCCTGTCATAAGCTTATGGGTGCTGGGAATTGAACCCAGGTCTTCTTCAAAAGTGGTATGTGTTCTTAACCACTGAGCCCTCTCTCGAGACTGGGGTGTGTTCATCTGCATTGAAAGCCCGAGGCTGGCAACGGGTACTTTCTTCGATGGCTCCCTACCTTACACAGGGAGGTAGGGTCTCTCAGTTGAACTCAGAGCTCATCAATTCAGTTAGTTTGGCTTCTTCCAGGATTCTCTGTCCCTTTCCAGGAACCAGGATTATAGGCAGGCTACCACGCCCAACCAACATTTACATGGGTGAACAGGGGTCCTGACTGCAGTCCTCACACTTGAATAACAAGTACTTTACTCCTTTGAGTCACCTCCCAAGCCTGTGTTTATTTCTCTACTCATTCACTTTAATTTTGGGACGGGGACTCATATGGCCCACACCAGCCTCAAACTTGAATAACGTCCCTAGGAAATGAACTTGAGGGCTGGAGAGGACTCAGTGGTTATGTGCACTTACTGCTCCAGCAGGCAATGAGGGGAGTTCAACTGCCGGGAGCTACATACATACATACATACATGCATGCATGCATGCATACATACAACATACATCCTGTGGGTGGAACCCAGGAGCTCACACATACCAGGCAAATTCTCACCACTGTATGAAAGATGACACCTGGAGATCCTTGATACAACTAAGAAAGTCCAGCCTTTGACGCACCAAGGTCCCCAGACCCTGTTATTACTGACCCGACTAAGGGCTTTTGGCTCTGGCTCCGAGGTGTTGCTCAGGCCATGCAGTGGCTCACTCAGCAGAGCAAACCAATGAGTAAACTGGAGAGGCGGGGCTTGCGTCTAAGCGACCACTGGGGTAGACGCACAGCTCTGTTTGGGCTGTAAGGTGTACACGGGAAGAGACTGGAATACATCCACGACTCGGGGGTGCGGGCAGAGTTCACGGAAAACAGCCGTGGGGGGAAGTTTTAAAGGCTGCTCGTGAGCGGGCTGGGTAGGTGACCCTCCCTTACACAACAGCCCTGGTCAGGCGTGTCTGCAAAGCACCTGAAGATATGTGGACGTTCTGCAAAATGTCACGGACGCGGTGGGTGTGGAAAGTAGAAGAGGCTGCCAGAAGGCGACAGGCAGGGTGTGCCCTTTGACCCAGTAGCCACTCAGTTCGTAACCACCCTCTGAAGGGCACCCAAGACATTTGCATTGGCTACACCAGAGGTCCGGATATAATGAGGGTTATAGGCCACCCA